TTTCCTATTCGAGTCATTTCTTTTTCTATAAGTTTTTATCTATTTTTTATCTTTATTTTTATTATTTTCTTTTAATTCTCTAATTTCAATTTTTAATATATTTATATCATTTCTTGTTATTTTTACTTCATTTCTTAAATTTTGTATATCATTTCTTAACATTTTTATTAATGATTTTAATTCTTCCATATATTCACTTATTGACATCTTAATTTTTTCTTATTTCTAACTCATAGGTTAATTTGTATCTTTTATCTTCTTTTTTATATATTATTTTTCCAAATCTTCTCTCAGTGTATCTGGATCTACTATTTTTTCTTTTACTATAGTAAAATATTTACTTTCAAGTCTTAATCTTTCACATTTTAATTTTATTAATTGTTTATTATTTGATATTCTCATTTCTTCTGATATTAACATTGTATTTTGTATTTCCTCTTGTATTTTTTTTTCATTTTTATAAGTAATTTATTCAATTTTAAATGTGTATTATCACTTGCACTCATACTTTTCTTTGTAATATAAATTATTTTCTTTATCTTCATATATATTAATAATTTTTTCATATGTATATATATCCTTTATTTTTTCTATTATTAATTTTTCTAATATTTGTTCCTTTATTTCTCTAGGCAACTCTTTAATTATTGTTAGTGTCATTATTTTTAATCTATTATGAATAGATTTTAAAAATATATAACTACCTCACTCTTTTTCTAAACGCCAATAATTATCTATTCTTATTATTTTAATTTCCATGATCTCTATATTTTTATCAAGATGTAAATATCAATTATTATTTCAAAGATGTATAATCTAAACATTCCTTTAATTTTCTAATAGTTAATCTGTTATTTATTAAACTTATATAAAATGTTAACCTCTAAATTTAAAGATTTTTACTTCTTCAAATAATCTATTTTTTTTTTATAGGTTTTTCTCATAATCTCTATGTTTTTATAAAGATGTAAATATCAATTATTATTTTAAAGATGTATAATCTAAATATTCCTTTAATTTTCTAATAGTTAATCTGTTATTTATTAAACTTATATAAAATCTAAATGTTAATCTAAATCTAAAGATTTTTACTTTTTCAAATAATCTATTTTTTATAGATTTTCTCATGATCTCTATGACTCTGATACCAATAAGGGGGCCTATTTAGCGCGAACAAAAATCAAATAAATCAAATTAAAAGTATTAATCAAATAAATCAAATAAAAACTATCAAATTTCAACCAATATTTAATTTTAAGGGCTAAAATAGAGGATTTCTATATTATAGTGTCTTATTATGTAATATCCAAATGGAGGGCATTTTTGTAAATTGATCAAAGGTCATTTTGGAAAAGTGACCCTTTTCTAAAGACTATTTCCATGTATTTTCCTGTAGAAGACAACCTGCGGGGGTTGATGGTCACAAAATTCAAATAATTATGTGGAAAATTCAAAGTCAAATTATTAAATTATTTAAAATTTTCGTATTAACTATGCCAGTGATGAATTGATGTCTGGCTTATAATTAGCTTAAAAGTGCTTATTTATGGGACTGCTGGATGTTTAGATCACCGACTTGTTTGCCCATTGAGGGCATGTTTGGCAGAGTTTAGAATTTCTTGTAAGTTTTCACCCTATGCATTTATTCCTACATTTCAAAAGTTGTATCTATCTTTACCTACTTATAATCCACAAATTTTATAGGTCCACAATATTTAATTTCAAACTTTTGCCAAATACGCTCTAAAGTTGTACATGACTTGAATAATAGAAATATGTTATGCTCCTGTTTGGTGGGGATTAAATCAAATTTTTAGTAAATTTTGATAAAAATTGATGAAATATATGGTTTTAAAGTTGTGGTACCCATAAAATATGTGGTTGAAATGAATTGTTGACTTTGACTTAAATTGAAATTTAGATTTTAAGTGGTACCAAACAGGGCTATATACATGTACTGTTGATAATTACATTGAAAATAATTTGATAAAGATCAGTGGCATTTGTCATTAGGGCTGGACAAATCTCCCGAACCGAACCGACCGAACCGAACCGAACCGAACCCGACGGTTCTTGTCAAATTAAATACCCGAACGGGTATCTGAATTGAGAACCGACGAGTACGGTTCGGTTCTCGATTCTAGACCAAGAACCGAAAAACCGAATAAGAACCGAATATTTCTAATTTTTTTTATATTGAGTAAATCAAATTATTTTAATTTTAATTTTTCTAAATAAATTAACAATTTCTAAATTCAAATTTTTGGTCAAATAATTTGTTTCATTTCTAATTTTTTAATTTTTGGCCCAATTACCCATTTTTTTATTTCATTTCTTAGCCAAACAAGATCAAATCCACTAAATAATCCTAAACACCAACACTAAAGTGCATAACGTTGTCTTGACTCTCGCACTCACTCTCGCAGCCTCGCTAATATTCCAAAACCTATACAATCATCGGCCGACACTGTGACCTCCGATCGAAACTGTGACTTTCGCCAACCGAAGCTTTGATCGTAGCGATCATTTGAGTAGGGTAGTTTACCAGTCTCTGACATTCCAAAACCATTGAATGTATCATTAGTTGTATTTATATAATGTAGTTATAAATGTTAAAAAAATTTAATTATAGTACAGAACCGAACGGACCCGAACCGGACCGAACCGAACCCGAACGGTTCCATAATTATATTTGGACCCGACGGTTCCATTTACTAGATACCCGAAAATTTCGGTTCGGTTCGGTTCTCTTTAGAACCGAACCGACCCGCGCCCACCCCTATTTGTCATAAAGAAGCCTTGTGTTGTTAGAAGTTATTTTTCAACTAAGTCTATTTTTACGTACTTCTTTAAAAAAGTAAATTTTAGAGAGATTTCAATTTCACTTGGTCATGTTACATTCCAAAACCATTGAATGTATCATTAGTTGTATTTATATAATGTAGTTATAAATGTTAAAAAAATTTAATTATAGTACAGAACCGAACGGACCCGAACCGGACCGAACCGAACCGAACCGAACCCGAACGGTTCCATAATTATATTTGGACCCGACGGTTCCATTTACTAGATACCCGAACCGAACCGACCCGCGCCCACCCCTATTTGTCATAAAGAAGCCTTGTGTTGTTAGAAGTTACTTTTCAACTAAGTCTATTTTTACGTACTTCTTTAAAAAAGTAAATTTTAGAGAGATTTCAATTTCACTTGGTCATGTTGGTCACAAACTTTAACGTTTTTGTGGTATATGTGGTATGGAGAATTAGTTAGCACTCAACAGTATTACACGAGAAAGAAATAAAATTTTATCACTTGTTCTATCTAATTTTATTGAATATTGTATGCTAAACGATATACGTAAATCTATGAGTTGAATCGATAATGTAGACATTTCTCTTCATGTTCATTATTTGTTGACCACAATGAAATTAGAGCTCGTGACATGCATCTCATTCTTACTAATGGTACTCGTTTATGGAGACAGTAATTATGGAACATCGGTTGGTTGAAGAAATTAGATACAAGACCCAGTTTAGCTAGCGTCGTTCCAACTACTAGCATCATATGACTTATGAAGAGATTGACAAATTACATAATCCTAATAAATTTCAAACATTATGCCCTTGTTTGAGCCCCATTTTCCCACCAAAATACATTTTTCAACAGTGATTTGACAACATTTCAACCACACATTTTTCAATAAAATAATATTATATGCAAATAAAAAAAAAATTCTTATTTTTTAATCACACATTTCTCATCAATACACTATTCAAAAATTCATTTTCTCCTCTAAAATGGGGCTCAAACAAAGGCTGTATTAGTAGAAGCATCGACTAAAAGAGCCTAGCCAAGTCATCCATACAAGACTCTCAAGTATTACTATTTGTTCATCGACTCGTACACAACTTTTTAAGCCAAGAAACATCAACTAAATATCTCTCAAAACACCGATAATCGAACCACTAAATTGCACATGCATACTTCAATGGACATTCATCACGATGCACGTATGGAGCTTCAAACGTTCGCAATGGCAAAAGGCTCACTTAGATAACACAAATCATATAGTAAAACAAGAGTATCTATAATTTTATATAACATGCAGTGAGGAAGCAGAAACAGAAACATCAATAACATTTAACAGAACAGAGATTCATAATTCTCATATTTTATTACAACTTCATTATCATGCACAAGAATCATATGCAGTGAGCTGAAAAGCTTCAATCACATACCTCAAGATTATATCAATGTGGTACAACATAGAGAACACGAGGTACTTGTCCATCATCAATAGGCAAGCTAACGTAATCTGCTGCAGATTCCTCTGCAATCTCAAATGCCATTTCCCCATGTAAAACCTTGCAATACATATACAAAACTGTGTAGGCTACTATGCAGTGTAGCATCAGTGCTGTCATAAGTACCAAGACGAACACTGTCCGAATTATGAATCCCCAGCCGCCATTAACGCCTCCTAAATATGCTGTCGAAGCTAAAAGTACTGTTAGTATCCCATAGTACAGTACTAATGATAATGCGATCCATTTCATCCCCTTGATTAAGTGTGAGCTTTTCTTGAAGGAGTTGAACCCCCACTTGGATTCAACCACCACCACCACATACGCCAACGACCACTCCACTTGAAAGCAAAATGTCACCACCAGAATCAAAATCGTCATACAAATAACAAAAGCCAGTGAATAATTCGAGTCAACACCTTCATAATACTGATATACTGCAATCCCCACAAGCCAGATGAAAGAGAAAATGTTAAATAATGTGATCTGGTAGGCTATAGAAGTAGCAAGAAGAGTAAAAAACGAGGACAAGATAGACTTTATAGAGGAAATGTAATTCACGGGTCTACCATAGAATCCATGGAAGGTGCTGTAGGTAATTGAGCCGGTGGCGAAAATAGAGAAAAGGAACACGAAGAAAACGTAAACAGCGATAACGAGATTGGATTTTCGGGGTGATGGGATTGTCGGGTCAGGTGCAGAGTACGAGAATATGAATGGGTGGAGGACGAAGGCAAACGAGAGAGGGAGGAGGAAGAGGATGGAGAGGGCTAAGTAATTGCTGGAGTTGGCGCGGGTTATGCGCTTGGTTTCGGAGAGAATTCCCCAGAAATTCAGGCTATGGTCGAGGGTAGCCATCGACGTACACTGCAGGATGATCAGAGAGAGATTGAAATTGGACGTAGAAGACAACCTGTGGGCACGATCAAGTTCAAATAATTGCGTGTGAAATTCGAAGTCAAACGTAAAAATATTTAAAAAAATGTGACCAAAAATGTGGAATAAGTTTGTTTATTTTAGTTAATAATTTAGTTGAAGCAGTCCCACAGAAATGGTTGAATTGGTAAAGTGTATGCATCAATGATTTTGACAACAACGCCTTCGGATTTAGAGCTCGTGGCCTTCACCTGTTGATTGCAGTTATATGAACCGAGACCAAGTTTTGGTCGCATCGGTCCACAATCATAATACAGTTTCATAATTTTAAACATTACTAGTAAAGCACGTGCATTGCACGTCTTATATGCAAAATGAATGATATACGTAATATTTTTAAAGTTAGGCAATTGATAATGTTAGAAGAAAAAATTAAATTGTTAAAGAATATACATATAAATAAAAGTTTTATGAAAATTTCGTACATATAGTGAAAATGTTGAATAAATTGAAATGTAATGATTTGTTTATGCTAGACTTTGGTTGGACCCTTATTTTCAACTATTATGACGACATCGACTAATTTTATGGTATAGACAGATATGAAGAAAAATCAAATTAAAATATATACATTTGATTAATTTTAAAATGTTTATGTATAAAGTAAACTAAAGGTACGTAAATAATTTTCAAATTAACAAATTACTTATTTTTTCTGTACCATAAACCTTTTTATCTAAAAAATAAAAAAAAAATTATCTTATCTAAATAGATTTAGAAATAAAAAATTACATATTAATCATGCTTGTCATATTAATTCATAGCATTTATTTTAAATTAGAAACCAAAGTTACATTCAAAATAGATATCAAAATGAAAAATTTTAAACAAAAGTTTTCCTTTTCTTTTGAAAGGAATTAATACGAATGGAGGAATAAAAATTCTCCATTTAAATGTACCGAGATAAAAATCTTTTTATTTTCTTTATATATTTATATCTAATAAATAACAGGGTGACCATCATTTTTATGTTTATACAAAAATGAACACGCAATAATAAATACCCAATACTATATTAATTATTTTCTAGAACACATAATATTAATTTTTATTAATATTTAAAAAATTGGATTTAGTGAAAATGTGTAATTGAGATGCAAAGCTTGTATTTAATGTGGATATAAATGTGGAAAGTGTAAGTAACTCCTAATTATTAGGAGTAATTAGTAAGATTGATGGATAATTTATCCTATCATCGATTCTTTCCCTTCTAATTGTTGATCACATTTAAACAATTTTTTCTTTTGAATTTATTGTCCTTTGTATTTAAATAGTTATATTATCAACTATTAATTAATTAAACGTGAAATTTAATTTTTGAATGAAAATATTGACAATGTTATGTAAGGACAAAATGGTAAATTGAACATTTCTCATCTATCTCCACGTTTTATTTTTATATATATTGTAATTCTAATATAGTTATATAAGTGAGGAAATACCTGCTAATAGCCTAAATAGAATAGCAAATTGTGAGATTAGACCAAAAAATATAATCATTTGAAGAATAGCCTTTGAACAATAATCTTTCCAAATATACCCCTCATAGAGAATTTGCAACCAAAGTCATTACAATGTATAAAAACCTACAATTAGGACCCCAAAGAAATATAGATCATGAATCTTTAATAAATTTAACCCCAAATATTATACAAAATTTTATTGATCTAAGAAATGCAACAGTTAATGAATTAAATTATTTAAAAGAAGATCTGAAGAGTTTCTTTACAGAATATTTAGATCCAAAATTAAAATATAAAAATGTTTATATAGATAATAGAGCAATCAAAATAGAAAATAATATACATAAACTAATTCTTAGACTAGAAAGAAGAATTAACAAATTAAATATAATTATTAAAGAAAACGTTTTGATAAAAGATAGTGAAAAGATAGTGAATTTTATAAATTCTATTGTAATATTTTAGATACTTATAAAAATTTTAATTGGATTCAAAATCCTAACCCCTCCGCTGCACACTCCGATGAAATGGTATCAGAGCCAAATTACGAACCTAAAATTATGATGAATATAGTAGATGAAAAAAATATAATTGAAGAATTTTTTAAAAAAGTTGAAAAACATAAAAAATCAAGTTATCCCTACTTACCTAAAAATACGACAAATGAAAGTTTTTAGGATATACACAAAAAATTAGAAAATTTAGAACATAATCTACAAATAGGAAGTGCTCTTTTAGATAAAAACCTTAAAGGAAAAGATATGATTATAATTAATCCACCTCAAGATTTTAGGATAACACAAAAAGATAAAAATAAAGGGAAAAAAATGAAGAAAATCAATATATAATTTCAGATGTAGAAGAATTAGAACAAAAATTCTTAGAATCTACTGGTGATGAATATGATGAATATAAAAAACAGTTAGAAGAATTAACTGAAAAAATGAAAAATACAAAAATGAATATTAATCCATCATCAAGTCGTAATATAAAATTAGAATTCAGTAGTGATGAATAATATGATTATCCTTATTATACAACGATACCTATTAAAGAAGGTATTAATCAATACAGAAAAACACAGAAAAGATACACTGAAAATATAAGAAAACAATCCATAAAAGAAATAAATCCAATGAAATCTTTTAATGAACCAATCTACACAACAGGAATATGGTTAGATCTAGACCGTGTAGATAAAAAATAAAGCTATTGATACATGGATGAAAAGTACAGACTTAGCAATACAATTTAATAAATGGGAAACATATACAGCTTTTGGATTTATAGAATATGCATTTAGAGGAATTGTTTCTGAATGGTGGAGAAAGTTATCAGAAACTATAAAAGGAAGAATAAAGTATGGAGAAAATAGAACTGAAGTATTAGATAATACGAATACTTTAAATGATCAAAATATACAAGAAATATTAAAAATATTTGAAAGAACCTTAAGAACAGAGTTTTTTGGGAGATAGATATGCTTCTAATGAAGAAGAGAGAAAACAAGATGAATATAATGAAAGAATGATAGCAATGGAAAATTTAAAAATATGTTATATGTGTGAATTAGAAAGATATACATGTAAATTTGAAGAATTATACTATATATTAAATCAAGGAGATTATCAAGAAAATAAGTTTATATTAAAGTCTTATTTTATGAAGTTACCATTCTCGTGGGGAATTAAGTTATTAAAAGAATATGAGAAATTATTACCTCTAGGAGAAGAGGGAGGAGTAAAAATAGATAATTTTGGAAGTATGATTGAATTTACAAAAAGAATGATAGACATCTGGTGCAGAGAAGCTCTAGAGAGTAATAAAGCATACAAAATAAGAAAGAATTCCTTTTGTTGTTACCAAGATATTGGCTAAATTGAACAATTTGGATGTCACAAGAAGAAATACAAACCCTACAAGAAATATAAAAGAAAATTCAAAAACTAGAAAAAATTTAAGAAAAGAAATTTTAAACCACACAAAAAATATTTTAAGAAAAGAAATTTGAATAAAAAATCTAAAACATGAAATATTAAAAAATGTAGATATTTTATCTGTAATGAAGAAGGACATATTGCCCCTCAATGTCCTAAAAAGAAGGATAGACAGAATATAAAAACTCTAAGAACTTATGAAAAATTCCAAAATGATAGTGATATAGAACCAATTGAATACTTTGGAGATTTAAGAAGTGAATGCAGTAGTATTTATGAATTAGATACATCCTCATCAGAAGAAGATTCTGAGGAAATAATATATATAAATCAAGAAATACAACAAGCAGATTTAGAAATAGAAGTAGAAACAACTGAAAAAGTTGAAGACTCGATAGAAGGTATAAATCAAGAAATCACCTTTGATATTAAAAAATACGAAGGAATAACCAAAAAAATATTAGACCTACAAGAAAAAGATGTATTCCATCAAGAATTATTTGGAATACTACCAAGAGTAAATAAAACAATTATAAGTATGAATTATAAAGAAATGTCTATCAATATAAAAGATACTATAGGAAAAGCAAGAATTTCTATAATTATAAAAGAATGGGTAAAACAAAAGTTATCCAAAATTCCAGAAAACATAAGAAACAAATTGAAATGTATTGAAATGGGAGGAGTCCGGATAATGGTAAAAGAAAATAGGTAAAGTTCACTCTCATACTTATAGGAGAGGATCAGAAAGAATATACTAAAGAAATAATTCTATATAAAGATGAATTATATGGAGTTGAACGTTCACTTATACTTCTAGGAATGAACTTTCTTGAGAAACATAGTCCTTATAAAATCTGTCAATGATATTTAAAAATAACAGTTGATGATAATCCAATCATCATTTCAAGAATAGATGAAAATATGAAATCATTGTTGTCATGGAAAGAGTAATTAGTACTAATCCCATGAGTCCATATGTTGAAATTATACTCAATATAAAAAGTTATTGCAGAATTAAATTTCATGCATACCTAGATACAGGAAGTACAATGAGCATATGTTTACCAAATGTACTACCATCTGAATACTGAAAATATAATTCAAAGAAGATCGTCACCGCTACAACAGCATGTGGAAATAAGGTAATATACAGCAAGTATGCTTCACAAGTACATTTTCTAATTTCCTTTAGAGAAGTATTTGTTGATACAATATATATGTCAAACACAATTGGATGTGATATTTTATTAGAACAAAATTTCCTATTAAAATATGCACCATTTACATAATATATTGATAAATATATGTTCATAACTCCTTGTGCACACAAAATATTTACACCAAAAATAAATAAGGCTGTTACTATAGCATACAAAGACATAAACCATCAAAGTTCCTTAACCCAGCATGGTGGATGTTGGAGTACAGAAAAATTTAAACCAGTTACAGTCCTAAAAATGATAACAGAAAATAGGTTAGAAAAATTGAAAAAAGAAATTTCTGAAACATATTCTAAAAATCCATTAGAAAAATGGAATACAGACAAAGTAAAGGCAAAAATAGAATTAATCAATCCAGACACTATAGTAAGAGTCAAACCAAT